TTTTTGCTTAAAATAATTTGAGTAATATTTTGATTTAGTCCTACTTTATGCTCTTTGACAACTCTATAAAAATTCAAATGTTTTTTCTATTTTTGTTGCCTGCTCACACGACCAGTTCTTCCATTGGCCACCATTGACCTTTGCAGGAGTCGGCGCCCACGCTCTTGGCGTCAGTGAACGAACTCCATTAGCGCCTTGATGCACGAATATGTGAGCTGAGGCGAAGTCAAATTGAAAATTTCGATGATGGCCCACAGCAGCTGTCAACTTAATTAAGCATTTGCGATTAGTTTTTGAAGCTGCATGGGTTCGCTTGATTGCCGTAGCGCATCACATAATCAAAATATACATTCAAATATACAATTAGCTATATTAAGCGAATAATATGAGAGACATAGTAAGCGGTAGTTGACTCTTTGAGCTGCCTCAAGTTCAAGCACTGGACTCACCGCCCATCGAATTGTCTTAGTCAAAGGTTAGAGAACAATAAGGGTAAACATTTTATATAAAGTGAAGTAAAGTTATTGTGTTAAAAATCTTTTATACTATAGAACAATGTAATGCGTGAGGCGGAACAATTTGCATAACTAAAGTTTGACTAAAAACGAAAACTTTCCATTGCTACGACTTCCAGTTCAACCCTGAGCATTTGATCAATGCTGCCGATAGGGAGAGTGGAAGAGACGACATCATTAACAGGAATGTCGAGAACATTCTTATTGGAAATTCTCATGTATGAGTACAACTATAACTAATAGCTGTGCTTATCTCTTAAACATATCTATCGCTAACCTGCAGCGAGCAAAAGGTTGCAGCTGATAATAATGTTTAATGAGCTTAGGGGTCGGCTTAAAATGTTAAACAGGGGCGCATATGCTAACATGCGTGCAGTAGCATTACACTGTTAAAGAAATCAAAATACTATTTAAGTATTAGTATGTATGTGTGTATGTAAGCATTAGAAATGTAAAATCATACATTGTAACCCCACTCGATGTTAACGCCCAGTGATGGCTTCAACAAGCACACATACATACATATATATAAACTGAAGTCTTGAATTCTACTGGCTGTGGAGCCAGCACTGACTGACAATTATTTTGGCCAGGGAAAACAACTTTTAAATTCTTAAGCTTAGATTTTAATTAAAATCAAAGTTCGCATATAACTGTTTAACTGCCGTTGACTTTAAATGATATTATGCAAGTTGACAAAGTATAAAAATTCTTTAACATTTCCTTTAATTGAAGTACTTAGCAGTGCTCTGTAAATGTAAAATTATGTAAATAAATTTGCAGCCGAGGCCATTAATGTCTGTTTACGATGGAGTGATAATTCGAGTCTTTTAACAGTGCACTGCAGTGATGTTTGTCCAACAACAGATCATGCTGATAATTTGCCCACACTTATACTAACATGAACTTATACCCGTTCGACATATCAATCTATAAAAGAGATTCGCAATTGCTGTGATGCAACTGAAATTCTTCAGTTAGCACATCGCTCATGATTTAATAGTTAACGTTTATAGATAGTTAAGATAGCTTTTTTGTCGGTATGATGGCCAGCTAGCATGCAATCCACAAGGATATCCAGTTGGCCAACTGGTCAAACGTGACTCCAGCGAGACTGGAATGAAAGCGGTCCAGCGCAGAACTCTGAACTGTGCCAAAGTCATTAAACACAGACACAGCCACAAATGCGCAAAACGTAAATGCTTTAAGAATATTCCCGCAGCATTGGCCAAAACGGGTCTTGCTTGACCCATTTCGTGCGCTTGTACCGCGACATCTTTTCGCAGATTGCTTTAAATGAATAAATGCCTAACCAAAAATAAAAACTGGACTCCAGCAAAATGGGTCACTATGTTACTGTGGGTCGGGACTCCGGAGCGCATGCCAAGGCATCAATTATAATTCTGATTTGATATTTCCTTGGCGCAGCTAGCGTATAAGATGTGTCTTATACTCAAATCTGTTACAGTCAGTATAAGATTGACTTTACATGTGCATGTGCATGCATACTGCTGTTAATAGACTCGGACTCATGCATGCATACTTGATTAACATATTCTGTTATGTTATGATTCTGACGATCGAACATGTTTGAGGCTAAAGTTTATGTTGCATCGCTAGCTTGTATGGTGGAACATGTCTGAGAGATTAAGCTAGAATACAAAATGTATTAAATGATTAAAGTTAATATATCTTGAGGCTAATTGAGAGTAACTGAAAGAGTTAACTTTCCAGCTGTCATAAATCTCCTAACTTATAAAGTTTAAGTTCAAATCTTGCATTTAGAACATTCTATATATATTTATATATCATAGTAAAAAAGTAGTACCAAAAAGAATTGACATTAAGTTTATCACTAATGTTTTTTTTTTTTTCAACCTTACGATTACTACTATTTTACAAGATGGAGCAACCGGAAAACAAATATTAAATTAAATATACGTTTTGCTTAAAGCAAAATTGAAATTAAGTAAATTTAAGCCCCTATTACTAAACTGCTTCCTTCATTAGAAAAAGATTGCAAAGTCTAAGTTCTGAAATACTTTAAATTTATGAAATCAGTCAAAGTTCTCTTAGAGATGCCGCAACGCCTACTTGGAAAATGTTTATGCTTTACTTTGTCTGCGTCCACAATTGCCCTCGGCTACGACTCGCCTTGGCTGGGGACAGAAAACCGGTTGATTGATACCATTTGTGGCATTAAATGCACATTATGTTTGTTGCAACATCGAAGAATGCCCCATTCCAATTGCAAGCGCTGTTATCTAACTGTACTCGCTCACACAGACACCAACTGCAGAAGCAACTGCTAACAGCTGAACATAGCAGAACCAGTCTCCGTCTCTGGAATTATATCACAATCACAATCACAAATGTGAACAGCGATAGAGAGAGACAGAGAGAGGGAGAGGGAGAACGCTGTATATGGGCGTTACACGTTGCTCTGCTAATATATATCAAATTATTAAGTCAACGTAAGAGATGTGATTTATATGGCAAATCTATTACAGCATGATCGGTTAACATTCGAAAGAAAACAAATTTATATAAAAAAAACTTTAAATATTGTGACACATTTGATGGGTGTTAACAAGGTATTAATGAATATATAAATATATAAATGAATATGCAAACATATAAAAGTTGGTTAATGCGGAAATTTTGCTTTTGTTTATTAAGTGATTTAGTAGACTTGCTAAACAATTTTGATTATAGCCAGTTAGATAAAAAAAAAACCTTTAAATTAATCTCAATGCTTCTCTTAATATATAAAAATTCGATTCAATTGTAAGAAAAATAATAATATTA